TATTATTATCATAAAGTCGATCTACATATGATTGCAGAAATGATCATTTTTATTAAATAGCAATTTTCAGTATTTTAACTGGCGTCTTACTGCTGAAGAAGTGCAGAAAAACTTTTTGGTAGGATGCTTTTAGACATTTATATTTGTAGGTTGTTTATTCAGTTGCTCACAATAATTATCCTCATTTTTTTAAAAAATTTAGAAACAAGAAGTCTTAAAATGATTTTTTTAATAAAATATGAAAGTAGTTAAAGGACATCATATTTTAATATGTTCTAAATTTTATTGAAAGGATATATTTTATTAATAAAATACATCATTGATTAATTGAGTAATTTTGATAAGAAAGCATCGGAATATGAGGACCCCAAAGAATAGAAACGCTCTTTTTATTAACGACAATAAATTTGTAGCTAATAGTTTTAACGCATGCAACCTTTCATATTTATCGAATTTTTTCAATAAAAAGGGTTAATGCATTGCATTTATCATATCAGAATTTGTGTAATTTTTTATATTAATAAAGTATCAACAAAGTAGATTTTCAGGTAAAAACACGGCTCGATTTTAAATGAATTAACTAGAGTGATGATGAGTTGCAATGCATTGCAACCACCACTGCCATTCTTATGATAAACACTTACCCTTGATCCTCAGCCACTCCTTGATTTTCTTTTCGCTTTTGATACTTTGAAGACATTTTTAATTTGAAAAAAAAAATTTTAAAACGTGTTAAACCAAATAATATTAATTGCCGATCCTTTTATAAACGGCAGAAAAATACTACTAAAATTTTGGGTAAAAATTTGACGATCTACTATGTTTTTTAAAATAAAATGCAGCACAAAAAAAATCCACAAAAAAATATATTAACCTAAAATTTTAATCACGCGATGACTTGCATATTATCTTAATTTATATATCGAAAAAAATTTTTAAACATTTGTCTTGAGAAAGACTTTACTTAGTGGGAGAGACAGATTCGAGCTCAAAAAATTAGTAAAATTAAATTATTTAATTTATTTTATACGTTTTTATTGGACCAAAAATTAGTAAAACTAAATTATTTATTTTATTTTGTTTTTATTGACCAAAAATTAAATTTATGAATGAGATATGTCCAACGTTTCTTCTGCCATTTGTTTTTTCCAACATGCATAGGTTCTAGTTATCCAATTGACAATGGTCGAAATCTTTGGAATTTCTTCTTCTTCAAGCTCTTCGTTCTTCACACGTTCCAAAAGTTCTTTGTGCATATTATCAGCTGTCATTTTTTGGTTTGGATTTACTGTTCCTGTATGAAACATAATTTCTAGCAAGTTTTTTACCTTTGGACTCATTCTTTTAATTGGTGGTTTTTGATTCTTTTGAAATTCTTTTAAAGCCCACCCAAAAACAAATAATCTATTGCAAAATTAAGGTAAGAAAAAATTATATGATTATAAATGTCATCAATTATCAATAATTAACCTTTTAGACTGATCTAACTCCAAATTTTCTTCATAATCAATTATCATTTGATCCTATAAATTAGAATAATAAAAATATTTAGATTTTTTAATGATAAAATTTTCATTTAGATTATTTTCACCTCTACTTCAATATCACATTCTTCTATGGGATTTTCTAATATTAAAAAAAAAATCACAATCAGTAAATAAAATATATATTACAGATGCAATTATTATACCTTTGTATTCCACAAATGGCATTGTCCATGGTTTATCTGAGTGTGTGTGTTGACTTATTTTTGGATTGGGTTTTTTGATAGAATAATTCTTTAGAATATTTCCAATTTTTTGGGGAGAAAATTTTATCCAAGAGCCAATTCCTGGTAAAGGCCGTGCAAAAATATAACCTTTTTCAACACCTTCATCAGGCCATACCCATTCATTCCAATTGGTGATGCCAGCTATCATACCTAATTTTTTAGTTTTATCTTTCAAAGAATTATTTGTAATTTAATATCTGTTATCTCATTCAATAGTGAGAATATTTTATTTACCTTTTACTCTATTTGGTTCTAAATTAGCCACATGTATACCAGCTGTATTTTTTATGGCCATCTCAATATCTTCACCAGATTCAATGGTAAAGCCAAATTTTACATGACGATTTATTGCATGTGTTAACTGAAATTCAAGGTTAGATTAATGTGGAATATAAAAAAACTACAAACAAAAAGTATATTTACTGTTGCATGATGAGAATCTATTGGTGTTTTTGCTTCTCCAGCTTCCAGAAAAATCCATTTGTTCACACTAACATCATACCATTCCTTCCATTTAGATAATATAATCATCAATTCGGTATTGTGGTAATGTGGACCATTGTCTGACATTACAGTTATCCTTTTTGGCTTGGGGTCTATAACTTCTAATACAGCATGTAAGGATGATGCTGTAAACCAGGCATCTTGTTTTGTATCATCTGACCAGTGATCGTAAGCATCAATCTTCAATTTGTCATTTCCAATTTCTTTAGTATATACTAATACTGAATGTAATGTCCATCCTCTTTTACCATAGAACTCTGATTTAGTCTCTTGTGCATTTTTAGGCAATATTTTCATCTTGTAGTCTACAATAAACAAGGCTTCTTCATGATTTAATTTAGCCAAATTTGCTTTTAATTGAGCATTTAGGTATGTTTTTCTTGCATGGTGTCCCATAAAATAAATTAGTTTTTTTTGATATTCTTCAATAATTGATTGGAGATCTGCACTAACATTATTTTGAATATTATCAAATAATTCAAAAAAAAAATTGCAACTATTACAAATATTTGAATGCATATGATTACATTCCCCAAATGCATAAAGGAGGCAATGACTAATGCAATCACTATGAAGAGCTTCTCCTGCTGGATTAACAATAAACTCTTTTGAAATGTCTTTTTGTAAATATCTTTTCAAGGTTTGCAATCCTTCAATTAATTTTTTCTAATTATTGATATTAACATTTAACATAGTCAGTACTTGAATATAAAATAATTAACAAATGCTGATGTGTCAGTGCAAATACCTGAAGGTGAATATTCTCAATGTCTTTTTTCAAAATGTCTTCAATTTCTGAAAAAACTTCATATCCATATTCATTACAAATAGAACAAAGGCCTCCCATATTCTCTTTATATATATATCTACCCCCTTGAAGTCTGCTCATGAATGCAGTACGCTGCATTCCATTTGGATATTCTTCATGAAATTTCTCCCATAAAGAGCTCTTAGAATCCTGTAAGTATAACACAGGTAACCCTGTTTTGGTTTCTGTCTTATATGAACTCATATTAACATTTGCTTTGTCATTGAAAAACAATTCAAATTGCTTCAATTGCTCTTCATTTAATCTTGTTCTTGTGATAACTGGTTTAGATAAAGGTGGTGCACCAGGTCCATACATATCAGCATGTTTACATGCCTCTAAGATTGTATGTTCACCAACCTTAAGACAAGTCATTTAGTTAATTTCTAAGATATTTATTATTATACAAATGAAAATGTTATCTAATCATAATCTCTTACATTCAAATTTGTTTTTAATTCTTGGTAGGTGAAGTCATTTGCAATAATTGATAATGTACGCCGTTTTCCATCTTGATTTTTTTTGTTGCCTTTCAAAGCTTTCTTAAAACAGGGCCAGAAAGTGTTAGTATTGTTTGACATATGAATAGGCATACTTACCAAAAAACCCATTTTATAGAGAGAATGAATGGTGGATTTTTCTGTGATATGATCTGGAGATTTTGTCCATAATTGTAACTAATAAACTAATATTAGTCTTTTTGATGATAAACAAATTAATAGATGTTTGATGTTACCTTTGATTCATCTTGGGTCCATGGTGTGATATTATGACAGCCTGATGCACGTAACATTGCCTGCCATGCATATAATTCTCGTTCTTTTATTGCATAATTTTTTTGGTAAATTATTTCAAGCTGAGAAAACAATTCAATCACTGTACTTTCCTTCTCCAACCAATTAGTAAAAAATTTATGCCATTCTATATTGGCAAAAGCCCTTCTCTTCAAATTGTAGTAATAAAGATTTTTCATAAGTGAAAAATTATCCCATTCATCTGGTGTACATTTTGGAACTTTATATTTTTTAATAAAATCTTGAACAATAATATTATCTAAACCAAAGAGTTGATAGCCATCATATTTTTGAATATAGTTAGTTTTTTTCCAAACTTCAATTGGTGATGTATCTTCAAATGAATCTATAATCTCATGTTCATGGTAAATTTTGATAATACAAACATCATCTTCTATTGTTGAAACAAATAATGATTGCTTTTGTTTGTATTTATAAATAAGTGATGATTGATAACCAGTCCCTCCATTTTTTAAATGTTGTTCCTCCAAACATCCTATTGAGTGGATGAAAATTTTCAAATCACCTAAAAAAATATAAAAAGGACAAAAAGATTCAATAATTGAAAGCTTATTGACAATTTCTTCATCATTCCATCCCATAACTTGTGGACCAGAAAATTTAGTCGCCACATTATCAAACATTAGTTGATATATACTAGAAATTGCATTTGTGGGGCTTGTTTCTTTAGCACTACGAGCAGTCTTAGTTTCACAAATGTAACCTGGAAGATGATAGTTTTCTTTATTCCCGTGAACTATTTCAACGTAAAAGTCATGCCCATTCAGATTAGTTACTATTCTTTGTCCAATGCAAATAGGAAACACTTTTTCATTATCAGAAGACTGCCACCAATAATGTGAAAATGGTCCATAATGTAATTCACTTATTAAAGCACCTTTATTTAAAAGAGTAACAGGAATAAAACGCGTTTTTGACATTAGGAAATGAATTTAATATTGGTTCTTTTGAGATTTTAAATTTATATTAAAACTTATATTTATCTTAACCCAAAATTTTTTATTAATTTTTGGAAATTTTCTGCTGATTATAAAAGGATCGGCAATTAAACATTTACAAAGAAGGTATTAACTAACTACTCGCCAGAAAAAAAAATATAACAATGTTTCCAGATGAGAATCAATCAAGGCTGGTTAAAGAATTAAACTTGAAATTTGATTCCATTATTGCTGAATTTAAAAAGGAAAAGGAAGCACTCATTGATATTAATGCCAAACTTCATGCTAGGGTTAAAAAGTTAGAACACGAAAAGAAAAGGTTTGATTATAAAATTTCAGAGCTAGAAGACACTATTAGAGATCTAGATACTGAAATTGAGGATATATATTATCAAAGTAAAGATAACGATGCTAGAATTGATTATAAAATTTCAGACCTAGAAGACACTATTAGATATCTAGATACTGAAATTGAGGATACAGATAATCGAAGTAAAAAAAACAACGCTAGAATTGCGAAATTAGAACAGACTCAAAAATCATACAATTAGTTTCTTTAGTAATATTTTATTCTGATACCTTGACCACTAATTTAGAATTCTTTGGAGATCGGCATTGTTATTTTTATTTCCTGTGATGAATGTTAACATCTTTATTCTGGAGGTAAAATATAATGCATATTGAAAATAAACCTGAGAATAAAAATAATCATCACATATCTTAATTATCATATTGTATACATATGGCATTTTACCGTTGCCTCTATATTCTTAGAACTGGCAAGGAATGTAACCAGGGGTGTTATCATCCAAAGGGGTGTAAAGTTCATAGGGATTTGCCACCATGAATCTAGATTTTTGACGTCTCTTACAATAATGTAGAAAAATTCAAATCGAAAAATAATAAAAAAACAATTCAATGGGGTATGTATCATTTTTTTTTGTAAATTCTTTTGGTATGGTAATACGCAAAAGTATGATCCAATTTTTTGATACATAAAAGTATGATCCAAATTTTTGATCCAGTAATACGTAAAAGTGCAAACAAATTTTTTGATTTGGTAATACGTAAAAGTATGATCCAATTTTTTGATAGTAAAATGACAAAGCATAGGTCGATTTTTTACATAAAGTGGTAGTACTCAAAAACATCAACTATGCGAGAAAGCTTTCTAGGGATCCAAAACATAGCATACTCGTGGTAATACGCAAAGGTAGAATATTATAAGGAAGAGATAAAGAAAAATTGTGCTTTTATGTATTACCAAGAAAAATTCAAAGAAAAAAGGTAATACGCAAAGGTAGAATATAATATAAGGAAAAAGGTAAGAAAATTGTGCTTTTACGTATTACCAAGTGAGATAACAATTCGGCACTACATACCTCACCCTCAATCGGCAACCTTATGCAAAGTACAAAGCCAAAATACAGATTGCCAATTCGGCACTTCGTGCCTCATCCTTGCAATCAAAAAAATTGGCAATTCAGCTGGAAAATGTATTGTTTATAGAGATATAAGAAATGCGTATTTTATGAATTAGATTTTTTGGTCCAAAGTGGGGATAGAGGTTCTATTTATAAGTTTTTGTAGTAATTTATTAGACTACTAGTACAACGCAAATTCAAACCAATCGTAACTCAAAAGTATGATGCAAATATGGATTCTTCCATGAACCCAGAATGGGTCATTAGTCAGCCTTGAATGAAAAAAAAAACAATCGCGTATTCTTCAAGCCTAAAAGTACAATGCAAATGCAAACTCGTCGTACCCCAAAGTACAACGAAAAAACGAACCAATTGTACAGTGAGTAGGTAACAGTCTACCATAAGTAGGTAACAGTCTACCATAAGTAGGTAACAATATACCGTAAGTAGGTAACAATATATATATATTGTTACCTACTAAACTTGTGTTTGTAGTGTTTCTATTCTTGGCCTTACTGAAGATGCATTTGCAAAAGCCAATAATCAAAATTGGATATATCTGATAAAATAATTCTTTTTTTTCAAAAAAAAATATATATATATAAACAAAACTTTTCAATATATATCAATAATTGCTTTTTTTAAAACCTTATTTCTGATGATTTATTCAAATTTAAAATATAAAGATTCTCATTTTATTTATTATCATTTTTGATTTGTCACACACAAAATGATCATCATTGATTAAAAAAAATTTTGCCATACATTTCTATATGATGTACTGTGTAACCGAACTCTACCCTTAATCAAAAAATTTTTTTAGCATTAATATATGAGAAGTGGTGATTGTCACCACCTAAGGAATTAAATTTGCGTGGGGCGGAGTTAGGGTTGGGGTTAATCATAAATTGTATAATTCCTTAGGTGTGACAATCACCACTGGTGAGAAATAGCAATTCCCTTAATAACATTAAATAATAATAATAATTTCTTTCATAGTCCTTTTATACAGTGATGATAATAAATAGGAATAATTGACATTTTCTTAAGTCATAGTACTAGTAGCTATAGTAGTAGTAATATAGATTATCAAATAAAATTATTGTAATTTATATTATCTTGTTAAAGGAAATAAGCCTTATTTATAATTTTACAAAGTTAAAATCCCTTTAACAATAATATTAATATTAATATAGAATTTGTTGCATCAAACTGTGGATTAATATTTATAAAACGAATAATCTGAATAATTTGAATAAAACTGAATAATTCGAATAAAACCAAATAATTTGAATAAAACCAAATAATTTGAATAAAACCAAATAAAATGAACAAAATGAAGAAAACTGAATAAAATGAATAGACAAACAAAACAAATAATTTGAATAAAACGAATAATCTGAATAAAACGTATAAAACAAATAAAACAGAATAAAACAAATAAACAGAATAAAACAAATAAAACAAATAAAATGGACAATTCAAATAAAACTAAATGAATAATTCAAATAAAGAATTTGTATTAATATTAATATTAAAAATGTGCATGGCCTATTGTAATAGTTCTTTTTCATTCTTAATTGCAAATATGTAATGTGGCACAGTAATACGAAATTTATTCAACTTTACTTATATTATCATTATATTACTTATATTATCATTATATTACTTATATTATCATTATATTACTTATATTATTATTTATATCACTTATATTGTTATTTATATTATTATTATATTATTTTCTTTATGTACAGTCGGCGCTCGATATAGTGAACCTACTGTATAGTGAATTGTACGATATAGTGAAGATGGAAAATTTCCCATTTCATTATATATAAATTCAGCTCGATATAGTGATTTTTAATATAA